ACGGATCACTCTGCCACCGTTTCCCTCATGACGTAACTTTGTTTTGTATTGTTTGTTCAGACTCTACGATAAGCTGTACATTTTAAAGGCCACAATGTGGCAGTAATAACGTAAATTTGTTTTGTATTGTTTGTTTAGACTGTACATGGAGAAGCAAGAAGGCAAGGAAGATGAACCACGCCTCTCTTTGCGGGATTATGTACGTCAGCTGTCACGACATCGCAATCTGCGCTGGTTTGTTCTCATGAACCTTGTTCAGGTGAATGAAAATACATTATTGTGCAGCACGTACGTCACAAGCATTGTCTTTCCAGCAGCTGCTTGCTCCATAATTCGCTGTTTCCATGATGTGGTATGAGCCCTGGTACAATAGTCAGTGTTATCAGGAAGCCCGCATACAGGCATGATACAATGTTCTTGTGGTTGTGTTTTTGCCGATAGGTGTTTCACTGCCACTTCAACAGCAACTTTTTCCCCTTGTTTCTGGAGCACCTTTTGGCAGACCGCATCTCCCTCTCCACTGGCTCGCTACTATTAGGTAATGTAAATACATTAAACAGGATGTGAAATGTAAGTCACTACTGGTTCCCACTGATACAAGGAACACCCCCCCACCTCCCCAGTCTCTTGCACCTTCGTCCAATTGTCTACCAGAAATGTATCCAGTCGCACACCTTGTGATTCAGTTGATGAAATATTAAAGGGAGCCATTTCTTTAGTTGTGTAGGTGTTTGGTTAATGGGGTTAAGGTGAGAGGTTGGGGATATAGTCAGGGTTTAACGGTTAAGGTAAGGTGTTAGCAGTGTTGTATTAGGTTTTAGGAGTTCGGGTTTTGAGGTTAGGGTTTAGTGTTATGGTTTTAATGTAAGGTTGGGGTTTAGGGTTGGGGATGGCAGTACTTAGTGCTTTTCTTTCCACTCGTCTTGACCAAAAGATATTCTACATTTGATGCTGTTGCAGGAATTTCCTACATCGCGCCACATCTGAACAATCTTTACTTCCTGTCGCTGTGCAAGAAGCATGGTGTTTACAAGGTGGTAATGGGGCTATTCTACCTGAAGTTGGTGCTCAGCCTGGTCATGCTGATGGCTGGACCTGATCATAGTACATTGCTATGCTTCTTTATTGCTAGGTATGTTACACATAGGCATTCTTTGTAAAAGCAGTTATATTTTGTTCATAACTTAATTATAGTAAAAGCACATGCAAAATTACGAACGCATAACCTTTTAATAGAAGTCAAATTGTCTGCCGTTAAATATTTTCGTAGGTGTGACCAATTTTATTGTGACCTTTGCATCTTTTTTTCAGTGTAAGGTATGTAATTAGTGCCACAGAATTTAAAGTAATCTTTAGGAACTAAGCAGGCAGTGTATTGGCACATGCCAATACTGTAAGCCTGTATCATGTAATTTGAATCTGATTTTTGGTGATGCCATCTTTTTCGTAGTCCTAAATGCAATGTATTAGGCTACAGCCATTTTCTTTTATCTTTGGCATATAAACACATGGTTTGAAATTGTTCACCCTTTTTTCCCCCGTTGCATCTTGTACCACTTACCGTTTACTCTGAACTTTCTCTACTCAAAATATTATTTTGAATTGTGCTCTTTAGCAACCGTGTGTTCACGGAAGGAACATGCCGGCTCCTGTCCATGGTCATAAGTGACTTGGTGGACGAGGATTTCGTTCTCAACGAGCGCCGGCAAGCCGCTTCCGCCTTGCTCTTTGGCATGGTGGCTCTGGTAACCAAGCCTGGGCAGACGTTTGCTCCACTTATTGGCACATGGATGCTCGCTTCCTTCACAGGTAAAGTCGCCAATGCTTTTTCCAATGCATTACAACAAAGGCTCCAGCTATGAATGCATTGAGGCTGGATAACTATTTTAAAAAATGATCCAATACCAACATTTTACTTAGAAGATGTGGTTTGGCACTTACCCTGTAGAAAACTGGCCAAATTGATTAAAGGGTTGTCCAAAACGTGGAGAACCAGTGTGGTTTGAAACCTATCATAAATACAATGACGAATGCATATTGGAAAGCATTATAGAATCCATGCCTATGCATTTTTCTAACTTGTTTTTACTATTTCACCTTTTGAGGTTAATGCGCACATTTGTTGTCATGCTTGAACTGGACATTGGTTTAATGCTGATTCAAACAAACAAGTAGTGAGAGCAATAATGTTTTACTTTTCAAAATGGAAGTTGTCCTTCGAGATAGTGCGACTTAACCGACACCAGGAAGACCAACTTCATAATGGCATCCATGGAATGCAAGTGCATGAGATTTAGCTGTTGTCACAAATTGGGTTTCCTACAAAAATTAGTGCTTGCAGGTGTCCATCCTTTTAATTAAAACCAAAAGTAATACCTTGTGCACGATTTTATTTTAATGTGGCATGCAGGCTTTGACATCTTCCAAAGCAGCTCCTTACTGGCCGTAGTGACATCATCTGCACCTGGGCAGCCCCTGCCACCCCTACAAAACCCCCCTGTATCTGGGGAGGCTTTGCGCCAGGGCTGCTTCGTGTTGCTGGTGTGTGTGCCTGTGGTGTGTGGCATTGTGCAGATCCTCTTCTGGTATCAGTTTAGACTACATGGGAAGGTGCTGCACAGGGTCAAGGAACGCAGGGTCAGTTCGTCATGGATGGGTGGGGTAAAGTCTGTATGAAGGACCAACTTTTTCTGTACATTTATACCTTTTTTAATTTTGAGTGGAGATTACAGTAACACTACAGCCAGTGCCAATTAACTGATCTTTGGATGCCAATCTGGGCTATTGTAGCAGCTACCTCAAAACAAAGATTTTAAACTCTAATGCTGGGTCTAGCTTAAAACTGGAAAAATTTATACAACTGACAATTTTAAAGCCCATAAAGTTGCAATGCTTAATCCAAAGTAACTTTCACCAGACAATATTTTTCTGCGGAGGATATCGGGAAAGAGGTTAACTTAATGGATATGGGTTGAATTAAACTATTCTGCAATTTGACAACCTGTGCTCTTTCTGCAAACATACAAAAGTGTTAATTCAGTTAAAATCAAACTTTAAATGCAGTTTTAAATTACATGATTGAAACAATATTTTATTTATGAAAATGTTTGGCAAACCTGTGAAAATAAAACAAGATTTTACAAGCTATGCAATGCGTTTTATTCAACGTCAAAAAAGGAATTTGACACTACATGTGACCACTTGACTGCATTACAGGCTTCAAGGGAGCAGGACAAAGCCATTTTAAAGATGCTTAATGTATCCTGTTGGGAACATGCAACACTTTACATGGTGACCCACAGCAAATAACCAGACTACATGGTGTAGAATATCAATGGTCTATCAAGGATTGGTACATTATTTACAGTATACATTTGAATTCAGCAGACCAGAAAATTAGCACATCATCAGTATATAAAATGCTAAACTTTTATTTTGGGAGTTATTGGCCTGGCACTGACTTGTGGAAAATAATCCAACACTGCCAGGCATATAAATCAACAGTGTGATGGGCATTGGGAGTCCACGAAATCACTTGGCAGTGCTCTTCCTCTTTTTCTTCTTTTCACTCACAGTTTCTTCAGGCTCAGTTAAATTGTCCTGTTTTCGCTTTTTCTTTTTGTCAGAAATGGGTGTCACCGGCTCTTCAGAGCCATTATCTTGAGAGCTGTCAGTCTCTTCCTTTGCCACCTTGTGCTTTTTCTTAGTTTCCTTGTCCTCTGTGGGGGTCTGCAATGACAATGTCCAATATACCGTTGAAGCACATAAAACTACTTTATATATAAAAAAGAGAAATTTGTGAACGTGTGTCCGAAATGTTTAGCATACTTCCCGACATGCAACAAACTTGAAATTTGACATGTGGGTAGCTTCCAAACTGTACACAATAGACTTGTATTTTGGGGGGGGGGGGGGCGCAATGGATACATTTTTGCACGGCAATTCACGCAGTGTGACTGTCTCATCCCCCCCCCACCCTCCGCGTATCCCGCCCAAATGCACGGCACAGCGGTCTCGATTTTCTAAGTCAACGCGATCATTTTCAGCTCGCTCCTAAATATAAAGCAGAAAATACATCTGTTTGTGTGAAGCAGCAAAAACTCTCGAACGCTGAGCTGGCATTAAATTTGCACAGCTTATGCTGTCTGGAATTTCTAAGGGAACGCGAATATTTTCAGCTCGCCACGTCATTCCCTTCCCGAGTTGGCTAAATCAACTGTGACTTTATGGGTTAAGGTTGAATTTCCTTGAGTGAAAAACATCCGATTTAGTTAAATTGATTTGTTTCGGCTTTTTTCTTTCTTGCAAGCATCACATTTTTTCAGGGTTTTTCAGTTAAATATAAGGGAGTATTAATTTTATCCTAGACAAGAATCCCAAGTCCCGGGCAAAGCCGGGTAAGTAAAGCTAGTGAAATATATTTAGTTTTTTTGTATTGCAATTGCTTACCACTTTGGGTTCCCGTTTCTTTGGAGTGTTCCCGTTTACAGATTCCTGTAAGAAAATTGAAGTGATAATGAAACATCAACATTTAAAAAAATCAACGAATGCGAAGTGATAATAATTATTTACACAGCCAATGACACTCACCTCGGCCTTCTCTGCAGCATCAGCCGCATCCTGCTTGTCTTTCTTTTTCTTCTTCTTTTCCTTTTTCGCCATCTTCCGCTTAAACTTATCGGTTATCACCAATGCCTGCCAGACGACAGCATTTTAAGTTCAGAGAAAATTGCATGGCTTTTATCTAAGACTGCATACATGTGTGCCCACTAGGCCAAGTGTGTTATTAACTGCACTCACCTCTGCAGCAGCTTCCTTCATGACGTCAATGTTTTTCCTTGGAGCAGTGCCTGTCTCATAAAATGACAATCGCTCCTCCACCTGATCCCTCAACTTCTCACCAAATACTGTCGTTGGGATTTCTGAAGGAAAAAAAAAATAATTATTAAAAATACTGTCCAATTATTTTTTTGGAGTGTTAATCGCTCAGCAGACTTTGCATGCTCAGAAAAAATTGCTTTCAACATTCAGAGGTGAAAGTCTGTTGACGAAAAATAGTACCATCATAGCAAAGTCTACATCGACAAGTGTACTGACAAAGTTGAATGCTGCCCAGCCTTACCAGAGAAGCAGTCAAGGCGGGAAGCGATGGAGCACTTGTTGGCGAGATAGCGCGAGATGCGCCCCTTGTTCTTGGCCGCTGCCCGTCCAATGAAGGTGGAGTGAAAGATGAGTCCATACTTTGGTGTGTTCCCACGAGTCTTCAGAGCTCTGTCATACAATGTTACTGCACTTAACTTGCAATACCTTTCAGAAAGCAGTAATGAATCAGCCATAAGCCATTCAATGTTGGATACGTGCAAATTCAACATAGGTGATCATATGCCGATGCGATGCAACATTCGATTCAACATGGTTAAAGGACAGTTAATTACTGGTAAAATAAAAATAGATGTAGTTTAGGGAGGTGAATTTCAAATGCTGAGGTAAGTTTGTAAACTTTATAAATGGCACATAAGCTAAACCAGCGTTGAATGTATAATGTGCATCTCAAAGCATACCTGAAAATGTGACTTTTATGCACTGAGAAACAAACATTTTTCATCAGTGCATGCTGGAGGTGGGCAGCTCAGCATTCATACCCTGGGCATTAAACCATCAGTACAATCTCCCCACACCCACCAAACCACCACCATACCCACATAGCGAGCAGGAGGGGAGGTGAGTGAGATCGATTGGCAAATCAAATGTGACAATCCCAGGGATGTTACCATCACTGCTGCCCACCCCATACAGGTGACGTTGTGGTACCTGAACAGTGCCTTCTCAGCACCCAGGATCTGTACTGTGCTTGCAGGGTACTTTGCCAGGTTTGTCAAGCTGCCTGCTTGTGAAATCAACCGTGCACCAACCTGTAGAGGACGAGAAGAACACAACTTGAGGTTCACACTTCCATTACAAAAAAAGCAGTGTGAACTGTGGTATTCGTTTACATTTAAGGCAATGATTTTTGGACACTTTTTTTGCAAAATATACATAAGCACAGAATTTTTTTAAGTACCAAATTTCACGGTTTTCTACAGCCATTTTCCAAATTTCAGAAGATAAAAATTCACGATTTCCCTAATCATCATGCCAAACTCTTAGCCTTAATTATGATACATCATAACAGCAATAATGTGTAAGTTGCATTACGGATGCCTCAGTCAAACTAATTTTCTCTTCACTGTAAATCAGAGGATTGACAGATTGTTTAGACGTTGCATCACTGGCACCGGGTAAAACCCAAAATAACTGCCCAGCATAGTCCACGTGCACCAGTCGTCCTTCTTACCACTTCGCCGATGAGAGTACCAAGATTAGGGGCCACCAGGCTCATCTTGGACCGGAGATACTCCTGCAGGCCTTTGCGGTACTCGGCGAGGGAGATGACGCGGGTACAGAAGCTCTCGATGTTGATCAGATCAATGGGAGAAATGTCCATTCCTGGAAGGAATGATTTTTTTTTCGGTTAGATACTTAATTCCCAAGAGCGTTTTGGCTGCTATATTGTTACAGGATGCACCAAAAGTCAATATCCATAGCAATTTCATCACTATGCTGTATTGTTATAGGAACTAGTTTTCAAAGATCAATGTGGACACATTGAGGATTGAATGACCAAGTATGCTATGAGAAACGTATTGTGATGTTTGGTAAAGCAAATGGTGTCCAGTTCGAACATTTCACAATTTACTGCACAGATATAGGTCTCCTAACGTTTGCCTGACCCCGTTTAAATAGCGTTAAAAACAAGATTTAAAACACAAGGTTACAAAAAGTGCATTTGGTGACTCAGTCTGAAAAGAGGTTTTCATTCAAAAATATTCAGAGGATTGACAGATTTTGTTTAACATCATTGTCACCTTTAATGTGCAACTATGAAACTCCAACCGACTGGCTGCCTGCCTGTATACAGCAGCTGAGCTGTGGAAGATGATTGACTTTACCCATAGAGGAGCGGGAGGCATCAAGAATGGCTTGGGCTTTTGCGCTGTCCATAGTTAACTCCTCCAACGCCTCCAGATTTTCCTCCGACAGGCCCTTGCGGTTGGAGATGAGCTTGGTGAGGCGGCAGTATGTGTAGTTGTCTGGCACAATCTTAATCAGCTCTGGAAAGTGGTAACCGTACCACTCGCTGTTGTGAAACGAGACATTTACAAAAATGTTAGCATCATAACATCAGAAACTGAAAATATTTTATCGTCATCCACTTGTCATGTCACCACTCTGCAAATACAGGTCTGGATGAAATGGACCAGACCCATAGTATTACACAGTGGTTGTTTTTATTCCTCCCGTTTCTGTACAGCTAGAGCTGGTTGCCTTCTAACTGTGGTAAGCGTTGAGAGGTTGCAACTTCCTTTTGTAGATCACAAAACAAAATAAAAGTACGACAATTAAAAAATGTGCACACAAAACCCCTCTTACCGCACACGCATGGAAAAGGTATTAATATCTTTGTCGAGTTGGTCGAGCAGGCTGATTGACTGGATGATCATATTGTCGGCACGGTTGACGTTGAACTTGACCTTTGCACGGGAATAACTGTGCCCAAGACCCAGCTGCGCCTTGGCAGCTGACTGTACTGTCAGTCCCTTGACAAGGGCGTGGAAATGCAGGCGAATTCCTGTAAAATAAAGCATTCATCAGTCTTCTTTCAAAAGCATTCAAATAATTGGTGAGAGATTTGTTTCCATCACCAATATCCCAATAAAGCACCTGGATCTGCCCACCCTGCTGAAGAACATTTAAGCTACCTCAGAACTAACCACTACCCTCACAAGTGGCAATTCAAAGCCCTGTGATTACAGAAACACAGACCATTCACCTCGCAGTAGTGAACCAATGAACTAAAATTCAATGGCGGCATCGAAGCAATCGACCACACAACTCAAGCCATTTTTAGTTAGCTAATCTGGTAACTCGTTAGAGTTGCTATTAATCCAGATACATGCAAGAGTTATTATTTTAGTGGGGAGAACATCTGTCCCTAAATAGTTACGTGACAAGCACTCAAAATGGGTAAAGTGAGTTTTGTATTTCCAACTCACCACGGATGATTTCGGTGACCACACCCCCAGTTTGCCCTTGAATTCCCAGCTCTTCCTGGATGGCTGCCCCAATCTTGGCATCGGCCACTCCCAGGATCACTTTATTTTTTTTGCTTGGTGTTGGCATGTTAGTCTCCAAGAGCAGCCTCAGGTCCTCATGCAATATCCCTTAAACAGGACACAAGAACAATCCAAATATTAACGTGTTTTCATAGTATTCAAAGCCTGTGATTTTTAATCCTATCACAATAGACCAAAGTGCTCAGAAACTCTAGGGATGTAACATCATCAAAGTCAGTGGATTGACAGATTATAATAGGCATCATTGCACTGAAATAGGTCCTTCAGAACTACATTTCAAAATCAACCGTGCATACCTTCAGAAATGGCATTGATATTTTCAAGGGCAGCCTGAGCCGACTTGAAGGGATAAAATGCAGTCAACTTGACCATGGTGTTGAACTTCGCTCTGTCCAAAATGCTTGCCTCCACCTTCAGTTCAAAATTAATAAATTAGTGCTGTATGAAATGTTATTACAAACACAGGAATTTTATTACACTCACGATATCTGTTGTTTTAATTAAACGTATCATTTAACAAAAAATATGTATTTTTTAAAAAACATTATGGGCATGACTCATAGCGACAAAACGCTACCTAATTGAATGTGTCCTTGATTGTCCGACAACGTTTAAGCTATATCAATTATAATACACACTAAGGTACTGGTCAAACACTTTGGTACCAGAGACATTAACTCCAATAAGCCCAGTTGTCTTAAGATTCTGAGTCAATCTCCACATTCAGGCACGACAATACACGATTCACAAGTCCCAATATCTGACGTTACAATTTGTTGCGCATCTGCATATTTTTTCATTGTCACAGAATAGCGGAAAGCTACGCCATTTTCGGCCACTTATTTTATGGCTTAAACAGCACATATGAATTCATTAAGTCATACTGTAACGTGTATTGAGTTATTCTGTAGATAAATTCATCTCGGGAGTGGGTGGGAATGGGATCACCTTACCTGTGGCAGCAACATTCCGATTTCCTCTGCCTCCTTGACGGAGAAGAGGGCGTACCCAGCCGCATGCTCGAAAAGCACGTAGAGCATCACCTGGGCAGACGAGACCACACAGCTTCAGAGAAGCACTATCTATATACATTTGTTTTGTAAAGAAGCAACCCTTAAGTCAATCCACTGCTGGATGAGAGCTTATTATTTCGTGTGGGTGGTGGGGATTTACCCATATTTCACGCTGGTTATCGCAGGTAAAATTTTCTGCACTGCTTTAAAAAAATTTTGCAGTCATCTACTTTCCTTACAAATAGCTGTCCGATACCTATTCTATGCAATGCTGTCGCCTATCCAAGGCCCAACCAGGCTCTATGCTAAGCTCCTTGCTGCTAATCGCCAAAATAAAGCTTTAGTCAAATTTTATATCAGGCTGTGGCCCACGCTGTAGTTCCGTTACCGTATAAGCCTATATTTTAATAGCCAATACTCAAGACTGTACCGACAAAATACGAAAGATAGACTAAAAATGATTTTGGTTAAAAGACATGGTTCCAAGCAAACCGCAGTCTCAAGATTCTTAAGAAATTGTGTACTGCAATTATTTTGTTACATCTAATTCATTTATATGCTTAATAGATTTGTTATTTTCCTTCACAAGTCTGAATTTCAAGCTCTGCCATTGCATGTGCCTTCACGGGCATTTTACACGTGGGAAGAGACCCGAGAACCACAGAAAACCCACAACATATTAATCCCAATAAATTATAATGGATGTTTTCACCGATATATTTATAGTATATAATATTTATAGTATACAATACTTTTTTTCCGCAAATGATTCAGATCTACACTACTGCAATTCACATACGCTGAACTACACGCATATGGCCACGTGTGCTGCACGAGCCACGTGTTGTTCTGCGATATTTATAATTTCATATTATGAACTCGGCAGGGTGACTACACAGCATTGCAAGCATAAAAAAATACCCAACTCAAACATATACCTACAATTCACAATGACCTAACTCAACTGTTAAATGAATAATTAACAGCACTAGTTAAATTATATCCCACGTGATGCTTTGGCGCCTTAGCGCGCGCACACGCAGACGAATAACGATCTAACTAAACACACATAACAAATTAATAAACGTGTAAATTAGCTCTCAAAACTGTTTAAAGTCACAACTAGCGAGAATTCAGCGGCAGTATTAATTGCTGCACGCGTTATAGTGGCGACTCGGCGCGCAGGGCCCCAACTAGGCCACAGGCCTCTCCGCCTCGTGGGGCGAAGCTTCCGAGACGCGACTCCCAACTCTCGACCCAAATAAAATTAAACTCTCGCTTATTTTTCTTTGCGGAGGGAGGAGGGGTGGATGGGGGGGCAGGAGGGAGATCATCGCGTTTCTAGGCTTTCGCTCGTCACCCTGCATGCCGAGTGGCCGTAAATTTACTCGCAAGCGATGCGTCCCGCACGGAGCGGGCGAGCGAGGCGCGCTACTCACCATGGCGGCGCGAGTGGAAAGGAGACGCGGGGCCTCACGACGCGCGCTCTCTCCTTGCCCCCTCCCCTCATTTGAATATGACGTCGTTTCCGGTTTAATTAAATTTGTTATTTAATTATTCTGCTTCTCCACCACCCCCCCCCCCCAAATTTTTGTTTAATCTACGTTGAGACTTACTCTTTGGTTCTTTCGGTAAAGTCACGTAGAATGAGAATAAAATAATAAAATAACACAATAAAATTCTCACGACGTTTCGGCCACAACGAAAGCGGCCGTCTTCAGGTGAAAGGAACAGACCTGTCGGGACGACGGAGCTTCAATGAACGATGTTAAGATTCGTAGCGACTTTTAAGCTGGTTTGGAGAAGTGAGGCGCCTTGACAAAGGGGGTTACATATCAAATAGCTGAGGGTTTAGCTTGTGACTGGTCACAGGAATGGCTATGTTAAAGTCAGACTATCATGGGATCTCTCTTGCCAGTAGCAAAACATAAGAAAAAGGTTTTACCCTCTGACAATAAAACAGGTGTTAAAACACCAAACTGAAACCTTCTGCAAGGAATCAAGTCTGCATTAACCACATATACTTGTGAACATGCAAACAAAAACACATACAGTACTACGAGAGCATGTTTTTTTGTTTGCATGTTCACCAGGAGTACATGCAAGATGTTTGTATCTTCACCACAAGTATGTGGGTAATGCAGACATGATTCCTTGCAAAATGGTTTCAGTTTGGTTAACATCTTATCACCTGAATTAAAGCTTTCGTGACTGCAGTAATTCATATTCTTAGCTCTTTTTAATATAATAATATTATAATATAATAAAATAAAATATATAAAATATATATTTTATCATTTTATTGTTTCCCTTCAACGTGACTTTACCGAAAGAGCTAAGAATATATCTTATCACCTGTTTTATTGCCAGAAAGGGTAAAACCTATTCTTAAACGTTGAGACCGTGTGTGCGTGGCTTTGAAAGGGTTACAAATGTGTAACAGCATACCTGTAAAACCCCGTACGGTTTACCCGTGTTCTGGTACTGAGAAATTGAGTTTTCAGGTACATACGGCGTACAGCCGTTTCAATAAGGGCAAAGGAAAATTTGTATATTTGTGTCTCTCCCTTGTGATGGGACTTTGTAGGACGAACTTTGAGATTTATAAGGGCACGGGGTGACCAATAAGGTCTGAATTGGTCTGAAATGAGGTCGGCACTGATAAGGGGTTGACCGGTAACAGGTGACGTTTCGGAAAATGGCCCTTTTACAGCACCGTTTGTTTTGCAATTGTGAAAAAGTCCCATCGCCCCACAACAGAAATTGGTACCACCTGAAGGAAAACATACTTTAGCACAGTAGTACAGATTTATCTGCTTCATGACAGTTAATTCTGATATCCCACTAATTTAAAATGATTATCGCATAATTCAGGTCACGCAAAATAATTGTAACCACTAAAATTGGTCTAGGCTCACGGACTAAAATAACAAAAAATAAATACGTTCATCAATAACACTATGATGGCCTTCAAAGTAAAAGTACAATACGCGACATATGGAGCAATGTGTGTCCCGTATGTTAAAACTTCTTTCGCACTGTACGAAGCCCCCCTTTTGCCCAGGGCTGGCTCACAAATGACATCACATGTATCCCTCAATTTAAGAACGAAACATGATTTATCCACAAATCTGGCTGTCGCCTGATGATGCTTGTTGTGATTACTGGCGAAACGTCGTACTCGAATCCTACATGTTGTGGGTTTACTCTCCCAACACACCGGTGTGCTGTACTAGTAACGATTTGGCATGTTGTGTTTACGTCGCAAACCTTATTAATCGGCTGTGTCGGGTGGTGGCGGGTTTAACGACACATTTATATTCACGTAATCTAACCCAAAAAAAACCTCATGGATAACACAGGTCGCGAGAGCCTACGTGTCAAACTATATATCGCTCATATTCTTGGTTCTTTCGGTAAAGTCACGTAGAAGGGAAACAATAAAATAAAAATATAAAACAATAAAATTTAAAATAATAAAAATATAAAATAAAATTGTATTGTGTTATATTTTTATTTTATTGTTTCCCTTCTACGTGACTTTACCGAAAGAACCAAGAATATGAATCCCTGCAGTCACGAAAGCTTTAAATCAATATATATCCCTCGTTAGAGGAACGTGGCATTTGGCACAAGAGCCCAGAGTCTATACCAAGGCCGTAATTATAATATATATTGGGGGGGACACATCCCCCCCCAAATATTCAAATATGCTCAAAATGCCCCCCCCCCAATATATTGCCATAAAATATATTTCTGTTAATATTGTGGTTATGGTTGTCCTTTGTTAATCCCTAATCTCTGCCATTACATACAATCAAACAAGAAAAGGTAAACAGAAAAAAGAGCAATGTAATACAATACACTATTAGACAGTATTGTAAAGTCCATCCTATGTTAGTGATCTTTTTTATATTTTAGGCAGGAAATTCGTTTTCAAATTTTGATTTTTTTCTGGTGACCCCCAGACCCCTGGGAGATTTGGTCCCCCCCCCCCCCCATGTTGACTCCATGGCTACGGCCTTGGTCTATACACGAATTGCGTACGTGTGCGTTGAACCTCTTTAGCGCCGTACGTAGCCGACCATACCCTCATCAAGAGGTGCGGGGAAAAAAACAAAACCGGGAACCGCTGCCGGACCCACGGCCACGTGCGCGGTGCCAACTCGACGGCCATGTTACGTGGGGGGGGGACGCACGTGGTCTCGGCAGGGTCCTTCGAGAGACCCCACCCTCCAACGTCACATGTCGATGACGTCACCAAGCACTCGTCGACGCCTCCACCACCATTCCCTCCACTGATAAGCAGAGCGAGGACCCCCGTGACGCAAGCGAGAGGCCATTGATAGGTGGCCGTCGCGCAAAGGGGGTGGCCACCGCACTCGGGCGAGTGCCGGACTCGGGCCGACATGGCGGAACGCGGCGGCGGCGATGGTGGTGGTGTTGGTGGCGACGATGACAGCGACAGTGGTGGTGGTGGTGTTGGTGGCGATGGTGTTAAAGTTATCGACGTGGACCTGAGCTCGCCAAACTTCGACCCTCACGCCGCGCTCTACTCCTGCGACGTGACGCTGCCTTACCCCAACGTGCGTTGCTTCCACAACATCGCCGAGTTCGCCTCCTTCACGATGCGCCGTGGCCGGGGTCGGGGACGCGGGGACACTCCGGGGCAGTCGGGGGGGCAGGCGCCGGTGGCCACGGGCAAGGGCAGGGCCGGGCGGCGAAGTCGTCCCGCCCCGGATCCCGAGCGCGTGGAGAGGCTGAAGAAGCTGATGGTGAACGATAGGAGGAAGAAGAAGAAGAATGACGAAGACGACGATGATGATGATGAGAGCGCGGCTGCGGAGAAGGGTCCCGGACGGGGCAAGAAACCCAGAAATGTGCTCACCTGGATGTCGAGTACGTGCGTGTATTGAGTGGTGGTAGTCGTGGCTACCGAGTGCGCAGGAGGTGCACCTGCACCGTGCTCACGGGGAGGAAGGAGGAGGCCTATGCACCGTGTGCCTCGGATGGAAGGAGGGGCAGTTCAGCCGGGGGGTGACCCCAGGTCACGTCCGAATCACGCTACGGTTTGGGTGCACACGGGCATGGTTATCGCTCTGGAAAATGTTAGAATGGTGGTTGCTGTAAGGATGAACTCCCCTCTTGTCATGGGAATGTGGAGTTTGGCGCAGAAAGATACTCTCATGGGTGGCCAGTGCGTCTAGCTCGTGCATGATATACTCTGCGTCACCACCATAATGTGGTTATTTAACCATACTTCACCATGCTTACCAGTTGTGCCATTGTCGAAGACGTGGTGCTCTGACGGTGGGAGCATAGAATTACGGTGTAGTAATTGTTTCGGGCACTGCCCTTTTAAACACGCACCCAGGAACCACCCACCACTTAATCTTGGATCAACGAAGGTTAAAGCAGACGACGACGGCAACGTTGATGATGTTCAAATGTTGACCACCCTTCCTCTCCCTGGCAGAGCTGGAGCACGGTCCACTCGGCGGCCTCTACCGCTGCGTGAAGAACCGACTGCCCATCTCCGTGCACGTCCGCACGTTCCGGGGCCTCCGAGGCGTTTGCAAGGGCTACCTGCTGGCCTTTGACAAATTCTGGAACATGGTGCGTGCTTACACGCTTCTCGGCTTGACACCGGCTCAGCTCGATTCCACTTTAATTCGTACACCACGCTGTGTGTGGGTTGGTGAAGGTGGGTAGCGTGGACTTAGCAGCGTGGAAGTGCAGTGAAACAATTGATTTTGTCTGCAGTGTGCTCAAAGCGATTGATGCAGGGTGGGCATCCATCTAACCACTATCCAGGATAAAATCTGCTTTGTTGTCGAGATCTGACGATCAGGCGCATTCTGGATGATTTGCTCAAAAGCATGCCGTGACTTGCACATGTAACAATCACACCCCTGGCTCTAACCTGCCCTAGCCCGCCACAGGGAGTTGATAAGGTTTATCAATTAGCTTTGGCCAACAAGGTGTCTATGTAATTTGGAGAGGTAGCACATGGGTGTGAACCTGGTGCAATTAGTACATTTGTATTCACTATTCAACTGGAGTACGACATTCCAAACAGGCACAGCTTAAGTTATTTAGTACACATAGATAATTATGTTTTGCTGGTTTGTTTGTTAAAATGCTTTCAACACACGTATGAATGAACACCTGAAGACGGTTGCTTGTGTTGCGATCGAAACGTCGTGATCTATTATTTTATACCTACTACGTGACTTTACCGAAAGAACCAAAGAGTGGATTCCTGCAGTCACGAAAGCTTCAAATCAAGAATAAAAGCAATTTTTTGTCATTCAAATGCAATGGTTTTCTAAACTCTAGTGTAAGGAAATAATTACTACATTCAATAATGATGGGAATGAAATGAACTTTTTTTACGTGTGTTTATGTAGTGAAATAGCCTATATTTATATAACATTCGTATATGTACATTTATCTTCCTAACAGGCACTAGCCGACGTGGACGAGGTATACCGAAAGCCATTGCTGGGCCAAGCTTTCTGCAGTGAGCCGAGACTCACCGTTAACCAGGTGCGTGCACTCACTTGCACAACAGACTCACGGGGCACATGTCTCGCAGTGCACTTCTTTAATTACGTTATTTTGCTTGCAGCTGTTTAAGAATTTGAGTCTTCAGAGCGAGGCAAGAGAAGCAGTGGCGGCTGCTGGGCAAGACTGTGACTCCAGCAGCCTGAAAACCGAACAAAGGCAACGACAGCAGGACGACGATCGTGACCCCGGCTGCACATCGAGAGACGCGCGCGGGGGTTATGCCACCGATTCCGCCAGGGCGGTCCCTGGCAGATCCACTTCAAAGCCGGGCGCGCTAACGGGTTGCAGGTCCGATGCCGCGGACCGCGAATGCAAACGCTCTCGCTCACTCGATAGCGCCAGGCGTTGCCACGGAGCCAAAGAAGAATCTGGGGCAGCGGCGCTGTCAGCCGAGAGTGATGAGAGAAAGAAACGGCAAAAGAAGCCCGGTCGCCGGGAGGAAATGGACCGCGTTTACCGGCGCCACATCAATCAACTCTTCATCCGAGGCGACAGCGTCATCCTGGTAGTGGTGCACGGCACGTGATAACACAGCCGTGTGTTTTGGCGTCGGCCTAAAGAGTAATATTTTTTTTCTTTTAAATTATTTTTCTATTTACGTGACTTTACCGAAAGACCAAATGAGTATGAGTCATTTCAGTTTTTGGCAAGTAATACATTCATATATTTGTAAATATTTACATTTGTTTTGGTGACTGTTGGTGCACGTGCGATTGTTTGCGTGTGTGTACGCAAACGGCTCATTGTCGATACACTCCGAGACGAGCACCTCTCCACGTTGTGCGGGCCGTGGGGGTATTTGACCATTCTTTACGCTGATCAATGCGGGTTGGTGAACGTGGAGAGCGTAGACGTGGGAGCCGAAGTACGCTTCAACAATAGATGTGCTTTTGGTTACAGTGGCATCTTTTTTTATGTTTACAATTGAAAATAGTGTTTTGTATTACACGTTTGCGGTTTACATTTGTGGACTCTGAATGTGTTCAGTTATTTGTGTTTACGTGCACTGTACATTTGACTACTGTGTAGTTTTGTGTTCATCCACTGGGTTTGTTATAACCAGTAGCCGCTAGGTGGCGCTACCTGCATACTTACATGCCAGTTAAATCTTAGGCGTGTAATAAACATTGCATTTTCATCAACAAACTTCATTGAGCTTAAGGGATGGGTTTCTTGATTTGAGTGCATTTGTTTCCCTGGTGTTTTACTTGTAATGCCTATGTATTGAGGTGGAACACAAAACGCCCGTTTCGTATTGAAATGACACAACTTCCAAGTGACCACATCTAAAAAGGTTGTGGAAAGCATACACGAGTAACTGTAGTCTGCGCATGTCCCCATATTCGCTGTAGCCAAAACACACATTAGGGCTAATGTGTGTCTTGGCTGCTTGTGTTCATGACGTGGGTAATTTGTGATGCAAAAATCGAGTTCCACAGCTATGTTAAAATGACTGCTCTTTCAAAAAACATTTTTTTCCCCACGTCGCAAGGAGTCTGTAACGCCGGGCCAGATCCATTGTGAGGATTTAAAATTTGCCCTTCCGACCAATTTTACAACCCTTTGTTAATCCACCGCTGGTGAACGAGTTCCCCCACCGTGTTAGTTGTCCGGCTTGTTTGACCATACTTCACCACGCCAGTTGGTGCACGTTGGTGAAGAGGGACCGATGAATATATTGATCACCTTTGATGTTCCCGCAGTTGGAAATTTAAATTGAGTAGCCGTGTTCTTAGCACGGTATGCTAGCCACTTGCACCACCACTCCACCAAGGAAATTTGTCTTTTAGATGTTTTATGCAAGTGGCCACATTTTTCACTTTTCAGACATCCTTAATCTCACTTTGTTATATTCTCCTACATCGAGCACATTTAGTGCTTACAACTAATCCCAGTGTTAACATTCAACAACACTAGCAGAGTTAAGTGTAAGCAGTGTCTGTGAAGGTAAGTCATATGTCTCGCTTGTTGGGCTGACAAGTTGATAACCGATGACTGCGCGCTTAACCCTGCAGGCTTGGACGCAATTAAGGCGGCCTTGTTGAGAGACGTCGACCCAAAGCAGACAAAACAGAGCACAAACAGCGCCAGGCGTCTGCCTTGTGCCCGAGCCTCCACCGCCGTCTCCGCTACTGGATCTTTGGGAACGCAGCGGGACACGAGACAGCCTCGCATTGACACGAGCCCCCGAGCCATTTTTATGCACACGCAGCATATGTGTATCGCACAGCCACAAAACGTGTCTGGGATCAGTGTGTTGTACTACGTTCCCGGCCTACATTGAACCACAGTGACGAGTTGTGGTGAACTATTATCAAATACTGTAATTCCAATTGCCACTATACTATGAATGTTAATGCTTTTATTTAGTCTGCATTCAAAACTCTTCACTGAATCTTCAGATTATGTTTTACAGCAGGGATCTGCATTGGTAATGTTTCTCCAATTCCATGAAGGCGTGTTTGTCATGAGAAGAAACCGGAGTAGAGTACAAGGGGATATCACTCAAAGCTCCACAATTGGATTAAGTAAATTTCTGGACTGCCATCTGGTCACCTCGCAGCCCCAGCCTGCAACGCTCATTCCCTGGTATGCTCCGATCCAAGTACTAACTGGGCTTGAATTTGCTTAGCTTCCGAGATCTGAAGAGATCGGGATGCATTCCGAATGATTGGACTGATTTGGTCGTAGGGCAAATGGTCAATCTAAATCAACAAACACACCAACATGAGCCCCAACAGCTCATCCCAAAGATATCTTATATATCGCAGAGTGGGGTAGATTTAAGATTGAGTTTGTTGCATAAATGTATAATATATTAATAATACGTATATTTTAGTCTACGTAGTTTTCAATCAAAGACTTGCTAAATATATTTTGGGCAATTTTTGTTTTTTTTTCCATAGTGGAGGAATATGGATGTGCAGAGAACACACCCATAAGATGCGTTGAACTAAATCGCTCCAGGTCTTACATCGATTTGCTCTACTTCCCTTATTCATTTGCCAACAGATCGTCTTAAAGACCTCCCCACCGTTCTCGTCCCCCATTTTCGATGCATCTCCGCAGTGGCGCTCTTAGGCGAATTCTCTCCTTTGGCTGCTATTTCATCCCCAATCATGACCACAACCGTCATCCCTTGTAGCCATGATGTCTCCAGTCCAAGTCCACTTTTCTTAACAGCCGATATGGTATTCTTGGTTCTTTCGGTAAAGTCACGTAGAAGGGAAACAATGAAATAAAAATATAAAACAATAAAATTCTCATATGCTTAGTTCTTTCGGTAAAGTCACGTTGAAGGGAAACAATAAAATAATAAAATATATATAAAACTAAAAATTCTCACGACGTTTCGACCATAACACAAACGGTCGTCATCAGGTGTGTCGGTTTGCATAAATTTATTTTTAAACGGTGTATTTATTTACTACAAAAAACGTTAGCGCCACGCGCAGCGATTTGTCAGTTTATTTAGAAGGACTAGTCCATCTATGTTCTGAAAAGAGGAGGGGGGAGACGAAAAATTTAATGTATGCTGTCTGAAAGCCACTGTAAGCGTGAACAATCAATTAAGACCTGAAATGGTTTATCAAATCTTTCCAATGATTGCTAAGCCAGAATCCATCTTCTCGGTTGAAATTGTCTCTGTGCTTGTATATGTGGATAGCCTCATGAACGAATCTCTCATGGTAGCCAGCTGGCTTACAAAGAACCTCTGTCTTGGTTCGTTCATGAGGCTATCCACATATACAAGCACAGAGACAATTTCAACCGTGAAGATGGATTCTGGCTTAGCAATCATTGGAAAGATTTGATAAACCATTTCAGGTCTTAATTGATTGTTCACGCTTACAGTGGCTTTCAGACAGCATACATTAAATTTTTCGTCTCCCCCCTCCTCTTTTCAGAACATAGATGGACTAGTCCTTCTAAACGAATTGACAAATCGCTGCGCGTGGCGCTAACGTTTTTTTAAAATAATAAATAAATACACCGTTTAAAAATAAATGTATGCAAACCGACACACCTGATGACGACCGTTTGTGTTATGGTCGAAACGTGAGAATTTTTTATTGTTTTATATATATTATTTTATTGTTTCCCTTCAACGTGACTTTACCGAAAGAACTAAGAATATGAATTACAGCAGTCACGAAAGCTTTAAATCAAAATAAAATTCTCATTTTCTTGCTGTGGTTTTCACACCTGATGATGATTGCTTGTGTTGCAGTCGAAACGTGATAATTTTATTGTTTTATATTTTTATTATTTTATTGTTTCCCTTCTACGTCACTTTACCGAAAGAACCAAGAATATGAATCCCTGCAGTCACGAAAGCTTTAAATCAAAATTTAGCCGATATGGTGTTACATTTGTGTTTCCCAATCCACGCTTTCCTTTTCCTGTCTCTAATTCCAGGTATGCAACTCTGTTATTGTTTGTGCACTTATACACGTTTGGTCCATAATTAGTTTATTTTGGGTTAGATCGTGTAGGTATAATCGCAATTTTTACCTAGAACCCCTCCACTCCCCGACGGAGCCGATCAAATCAAGTTGCCGGGTGGTGGAGGGTTTTACATTATTTACAAGATTGACAGTATACTTTTCACAATCTAACGCAAAATAAACTATGGATCATTGGTCGTGAAAGCCTACGTATAGAATTAAGATTTTGGTACTTTTCTCTTTGTCTTTTTTAAATTCATATGGCCAATATTTTAAATAATCTGTAAAGAGGAATGGGGAAATTGCTGTTAATATTTAATCCACGTTAATGTAGAAATCTTAATTTAGACGCTCACCAACCAGTTCCAAATTAATGATCCAGTTCTTGGTATTGAGTTTGTAAATCATGTAATTAAATGTAACTGGTAAGTGAATCCATGGAGCGCTTTGAGATGTGCCTGGTGAATATATTATAGGTGCTGAATAAAATGATCAAATTACGATGACTTTATGGGAATACATATATTTCATAATACAGAGTAATAACAGCAAAATGTTAGACTTATTACAAATAAGTGGATGTACGCTCATAGACGGATGGATTAAACATCATTCATACATGTCTGCACTCACGTCGGCTGTATTACTAATTAAATGTAACGCTATTTAATATAACAATGTTAAGGTTATCACAGTGACCTTGCAATCGAGACGTCACCGATTCCATCCTCCATCGTGGCAGTTGAAATCCTAGGCAAGTTTATAATAGTCCCACCCCAAAGCCAAATACAAAGATCCCCGTATAGCCTCAACATTTTGTTGGGGCAAGTGTTGTTAGCGAGCACCTGTGAAGGCTGGCACGACACACGAGGGAGTGGGTGGCCAACACCACACCCAGCCGCCTTTGCCTCACCAGTGGTGATGTTTACACACCACATCAGGCTTCCCACCCCACCCACCACCTCTGTCCATTCGGCTGTATAAAGAAGTACATCACAGTTAAGTTGATCGGTAGGTCACCAGCAGTGGGGTAAAGTTTGGGTACTGCCACTTCATCCAAGACGTTTGGCCAGCGTGAAAGAGGAGGCCAAAATAACATCTATAAGGAGCTCTTCAGATGTCGCTCTAATGGAGGTCATTCCGCCAACAGTGGCGTGAGCAAGTTATTTCAGGTTTACACCTTTAGCTTTTCATTCATATTTCACAAGCGCACACCAAGCCTGTCACATCAGCAACATCAGTTGCTTTGCGTTCTGCTCTATTATCGCACTTTAACGGCATAAGCAAAGTGCATTTGTGGCTGTGTTTACTTGTCGCTAAGATTCTTGCTTTTACTCTTCGTAGGAATGTTTACCATTATTGGGAAAGTGCGAGGAAGGTTCTAAAGCCAGGCGGCTGTCACTCAAAAATGTAAACAGCATCGCGGATGTGTGGCCGGAAAGAGGGATAGCACGGCCAGACACGGCTCCCTGTGGGTTTCCAAGCCGGTCAAATAATCTGACCCCGGCAACAGGTTTAAGAAACTGGAGCCGAGCAAGACTTGCCTTTAATCTCACGTTACGTCCGGCGCACCCCCAATCAGCTCTGATAATTAAAGCTCTTCCAGTCTTTAGCAGAGGCGGCGGCGGCATCGTTACCAGCTCTCAGAAAATGTATTATGGACTTTGAAGGCGTCACCTTTTGATTGAGAGTGGCCACGGCCAGCCGGTCCAATTAGGGTGCCCTCGGTGCTTTGTTTCGGAATGTTTTTTTTCTGGTCGCGTGCGAGAATCGGGCGAAGCGCATAGGTAGCGTGCGGATGGGAGACAGCAGTTAATGGGCAACGTCCAGTCGTTTGTCAATCAAATCAATGCTGGACGCGAATCATGCTGGAGTTATTTGACAAAAATTCACCGCGTTCGTCAGCTGGTGGAGGAGGAGAGGTGGAGGGTAGAACCCAACTCTGGTTAAGATATCACTCGCAGTGTGCTAGCCACTGCGTCGCTACTCCACATGCACTGATATCTATAGAATAATCCCGAATGTAATTTGAATATAACACGATGGTAAACAGTGTTGGCACCCCTGTGATCCAGCGCGATGGAGGCAACGAGGGTTGGTGGATCGCACAAATGTTGTCAACTCCCCTTACCGTAGGCGTTGAGGTGCCATACCCTAACTTGCCGCGAGAAGGCATTACATTGAAAGGCGGACTTAGCTCCATCTATCCCTTTTGTGTGGAATCGAGTGTTGCTCCCTCGCACACGCAGGTTTTCTCCAGGCGGTCCGGATTCCTCCCACATGTATTCGGACTCATTTATTGGTTGAAATATGCATTTGATATAAACAAGATGGCAGGGCTTAGACAATTGTTGGTAGCTTCGGTTCACTGACTGGCCGCCTTCCCAATTGTCTGTGGTTCCTCAGCGAGTGTGATATGCAATTTTCATGAAACGACGACGCTATCTTTGCAACAATAAACTAAACATTACGATTAGATGGCCGCTTACCCTCAATGATTAGAGCTCTGGGTCAGCACCGCACAAATACTGGGTAAGAAACCAGGTTTCAGCCACCCGTGATTAAATTGAGTTTAAGTGTAGCCAGGTCATTAACGCATAAAACCCCATCGCGTAAAATTTGGCTTTGCACCTAACTTTGATCAAATTGTAGCTGTGGTAATAAAAACAAACGCTAGACAGTGTGGGCATGTTGTATTGTGCATAATCGATTTTATCATCCGTTATTTTGATGAACACGGGGCGCACTGCGCCGCTAGATTTCCGAATTGATTCATATCATGTCAGACTCACAATTTGAATATATTACGTGAACGATTAAAAAAAAACGACAATCATGACAATGACAACACAAATATATGTTGACAACACGAGCGACCGGAGAACAAAGTGAAACATACGAATCAGTGCTTACAATTATCTATACTACTGTTACGCTACGATTAGAGAAGGTCATAACAGCGGCTGAATACGTACTTGTGACCGTTCAGGCTCGGGCAGGGCACGTCGCTAGATGGGAGGATGACCGGCGTGCGAACGGGACTGCACTGAGCGGCATACGCCCGAGGAGAAGGCGTCCACCGAGGACGTGAAGCGATGAGATCGTGCGTGACACGTGTGTCGTGGCATTGCGTTAACCGGGCAAAATTGGCTTAACGGGGCTTGGGGAGGTCGTCATCCAGCAGTGGATAGTTCACGGTTGATGATTGCGATTGACATTGGTTCGTTTACATCGACGCGAGCGCTCGTAAGCCGTCGTCTTCCCGGAAACCTTTTCCGGGAGCCGCACAATTTCTGGCGCGGTGCAGGCGCGTGCGTGGAAGTGCAGCGAACTTCAACTGTTAGGGGCGCAATTGTTCACTTTCCATAGCAGCCGGCGTTGGCGCGGATAAATTACGTTATTTTAACAACGCGCATTCTATTGTCAAATCAAAGTAGATTGTGTATGTTAATATTGTATATTTATTATTATA